GCGTGACCATCCCCCCTGGGGGGTGATTTCTCGCTTTCTGTCTCTATGTCTCTCTCTGTCTGTCTGGCGAGCGCATGCGCCCTACAGTGAAAATCTCTCAAAAAATAAATAAATAAATAAATAAATAAATAAATAAAAGGTAAGAGAATTCTTTGCTTGCCCACTTGCACTGAAACAAAAAAGTTAAAGGAAATTCTTTAAGCAGGAGCATAGTACAGATGAAAATCTGTAAATACATAAAGAAATGAAGAGCTCCAGAAATGGTAAAAAGTGAGAGTCTATATTAAAGACTTTCCCCCTTAGTTTTAAATTCTTTAAAAGATAGTTGTGTATCTTGCGTGCGTGCCCAAGATCCTGAGAGAAGAATGGAGGAGAATGGATTGCGGCGTGGCCATCCCCCCTGGGGGGTGATTTCTCGCTTTCTGTCTCTATGTCTCTCTCTGTCTGTCTGGCGAGTGCACGCACCCTATAGCGAAAAACCTCTCAAAAAAGAAAATAATATATATTATTATATCATATATGGTATACATAGTGTATACATATGTTGTGTGTACTAAATAAAATTTTTCAGCTACCAGAAGACTAGCAAATACTGGGTTATAGGAAAAGTCATGAGGTATTTTTCTGTTTTTATTTTTTATTTTTTAATTTTTTTTTTATGTAGACATACATCATGACTTTTTCGACAACCCAATATATAAAATATTTAATAAACATAATAATTGATTCATATACAGTAATATGTAATCAAATATATGATATTAGTATAATAAGATATTATGAGGACATTATAGTCACTGGATGGCAAAATACCTTCTTGGAGACCTGAAGGTTTGAGTTAGCATTAGTTCTGACCAGCCTTTACTCATAGGTGATAGCTTTTATGAAAACTGTTTTACTGTGGACCAGTTCCTAAGAGAAATAGGCTAGCATCCAGGAGGAAATACGCTGGCCACCTCATGCATGATGGTAACTTGGTAACTTCACACTATTAAGGGCAGTTTCTGAAGTAAAACCCAGCCCTGTTATTTTTTTTTCTCTTTAGTTTGCTATAAAGACAGAGATGGGGTTGGCAGTGAGAAATCATCCCCCCCAGGGAGGATGGTCATGCCACATCGCCTTCTTTTTCACTCTCCTCTTGGGATTTTGAGCATGCACATACATGTGCCTGGCATGCTTTTCAAGCCACCCACTGGGTCTGGGATTTAAACCACGCAGTCAGCTATGTGGGATCCAGCCACCATAACCACCACACTACCAGATGGCCCTGAATGCTAGTTTTTTTTTTTTTTTTAAGGTTTTGCCCTAAGGTGAGTGCACTCGCCAGAGAGACAGAGAGAGAGTGAAAGGGAAAAAGATTGAAATCCGCACATAGCTTTCTCCCAATACATGTTTTCCTTGAACTTTCTATTTTATATTTCCTTGAACTTTCTATTTTTATATTTATACTTTTTATATCTATATTTTCTTTTAATTGTCAGAGAGCTCATTCACTCATCAGAGAGAAAGAAAGAGAGAGAGAAAGCATCTCCCCCACAAGGGATGGTCATGCCACAATCCCTTTTTCATTCTTCTCCTGAGATTTTGGGCACACACACACACACACACACCTGGTATAATTTCAAGCTGCCAGGTCTGGGACTCAAACCACAGTTGGCTATATGGGAGAACAGCACCTTAACCACTATGCCACCTGCTGGGCCACAACCCTACAGTTTGGCCAGGGGCTAGCACTATTAACTGCTTAATACTTGTCAACCCTTCATTGCTGTGAAGGACATCTTAGATGCTGAAAGTAATAATTTACCTCTTAAATCTAAATTAATCTCTAACATGCTAACATTCCCAGCAAACATTTATTTTCACAATACGATGGCAACGTGCCATCCTCGAGGTGATACTGAAGCATATGGCCCCACCTGCAAAAGCAACTAAAACCTCCACCAGAGCCACCTCCCTGGAGAGTGCCTTCTCCGTTCTCAGTCCAGCCCTCCAGACAGGAATGAGGACAGGTGCACAGCATCCACCCAGGACACTGTGATTGGTCAAGGCAGCCATGTGACTAAGTCTGAGCCAATGAGGCACCGTTAGAGTTTTGTGGGGATCCTGAAAAGTTAGGTGCCTGCTTTGTTTCTTGGTTGGATTTTACCTGAGACAACTGATCCTGGAGCTGCCAAGGCACCAGATAGGCCGAGTGGGGGGCTGCCTGTGAGGAGGTAGAGAGGACCACGCCTGGGGACAGCTCATGGGCCCCAAGATCGAGCTGTACCAGAGGTGAGCAAGCTCTGGCTTAGACACTGGCTGCAGGCAATTTGGCACCTGCTGAGCACCTTATATATAAGGAAAGAAATCTCATGGACATGACAGACGTCCCCTCTTCCAGACTCTCCACCTTATAACCCTGTTAAAGCTGATAATGAGAAAACAAAAAGCTGGTCCCGTCTCAGGGGTGAAAACTGAATAAATGCCGGTGAGCTTTATTCTGGGGAAAATGTTTTACCAAAAGGTGAAAATCATGTGCCCTAAATGTTTTCTCTTTGTTGCCAGCTCTGGGAAACTCAGTTCCCAATGACAACAATAGTTCTTCCTGTTTAGTGATACTGACACCATTTCCTCTTTTACTTTGACAAGTCAAATGACCTGGTCATCTTGGCCTCCCCTTACAGCAAGTGAAACTCTGGGGCCTAAAGTAAGTTATCTTGGTCCCTACTATGAATTGCAAGTTTCATTTTCCAGTGCTTTTCTCCCTTCTGGGAGGCCATGCCAACTGCTGAGTGAACACCAATTCATACCGGTGCATCTTGATCCATCAGGTAAGCACCATGGCCTTGGCTGATGGCTTCTCGGTATTCTCGCTGGGCTTCTTCCTTCTCTTTAATCTGGAAAAGATTATTTTTCAACTACTTGTTATATGAGGAGTGACTTTATAAATAAATAAATTTAATTTTTTTTGGAGAGGGTTTTGCTATAGGGCGCGTGCGCTTGCCAGACAGAGAGACAGAAAGTGAGAAATCACCCCCCAGGGGGGATGGCCACGCCACAATCCCTTCTCCTCCATTCTCCTCTCGTGATCTTGGGCATGCACGCACACGTGCCCAGTGTGAATTTAAGCCACCAAGTCCGGGACTCGAACCGCAGTAGACTACATGGGAGTCCAGCGACATAGCCATTATGCTAACTGCTGGTCCCGAGGAGTGACTTTAGATCTTTTTAAATTTTGTACATATGTTGACCAGAGAGAGTAAAAAAGAGAGGAAGAGGGAGAAAGCAGCCCCCGATGGGGCATGGAGTGGGCACACTACAATTCCTTTTTCATTTCTCCATCCTGTTAGGATATAGGGCATGCATGTATGTGTACCCAGGGTGTTTTCTCTTCTTTTTCTTTTTAGGTTTTTGCCACAGGGCATGTGTAATAGCCAGAGACAGGGGGATGGCCATGCTGCAATCCCTTCTCCATTCTCCTCCCAGAATTTTGGGCACACATGCACTCACTCCCAGTGTGTTTTATAAGCCACCAGGCCCAGGACTCAAATTGCAGTCAGCCATATGGGAGTCCAGTGCCTTAAACTGCCACACCACCTGCTGACCCACTAGTGTTTTCAAGCTGCCAGGGTCAGCCACAGCCATGTGGGATCTGGCTCCTTCAACAGCTAGGTCACCGGGTCAGCCCAATTTTAGGTTTTTGTGTGTGTTTGCGCTAGAAGGCATGCGAGCTTGCCATAGAGAGAGGGGGAGATGAGAAAGCGACCTCCATAGAGAATGGCTGTACTGCATATCTCCCTTCTTTCTCTCCTTCCTTTTGGGATTTGGGCATGCACACACATGCACCCAATGTGTTTCTCAGGCTGCTGGATTCAGGACATAAACCATGCAGTCAACCATGTGGGATCCAGCTCCTGGAATACCAGGTCATGGAGCCAATTGGACTTTAGTAAGAAAAATTACATGAATGTTTTTTTTATTAAAACCTAAGCAAAAAAACTAAAAGTGAAATAATCAGTTTATAGTTTATAAACTAATTTTCAGAATGTACTCATCTGATAAGAATGTGAACTAGAAAAAGCAACTGAAGAGAATTGTCTTTAAATTGGGACCAAAATATTTCAGTCAATAGTGGAAAAAAAAAATATGGTTAGAACTTCATATTGGGACTAGCAGACGGCATTATGCTTACATTGCTAGAATCCCATGTAATCAACGGTGGTTGAGTCCTGGACCCAGTGGCTTAAACTCATGCTGAGTGTGTGCGCGTATGCCCAAGATCCCGAGAGGAGGATGAAGGAGATGGTCTTTGGAGCGTGGCCATCCCCCCTGGGGGGTGACTTCTCACTTTTTGTTTCTCTCTGGTGAGTGCACGTGCCCCATAGCAAAACTCTCTCTCCAAAAAGCAAAACTAAACAAAAACAACTTTATATTGAACAAAAAATAATAAAGTTTAAATCTAATAAATTGTGGGTTATAATTGCAACTGTGAGCTAATCTTTATAATTAACAAAGAATGAGCCAGCTGTTACTTCTGGTACAGTTTTTCTTAGAAAGTTGCAATAATGGGGACCAGCAGTAAGCATAATGGCTATGTCGCTGGACTCCCATGTAGTCAACCGCGGTTTGAGTCCCGGACCCGGTGGCTGAAACTCATGCTGGGCGTGTGTGCATGCGTGCCCAAGAACCCAAGAGGAGAATGGAGGAGAAGGGATTGCGGCGTGGCCATCCCCCCTGGTGGGTGATTTCTCGCTTTCTGTCTCTCTGTCTCTTTCTGTCTGTCTGGCGAGCGCACGCACCCTATAGCAAAGACCTCTCCAAAAAAAGAAAACAAGAAAAGTTGCAATAATGGCCTTCCCTTTAGCTTGAACTTTTTTCTCTTCATGGTAGAGCATATGCTTGTGTGTGTCACAGAGAGAGAGAGAGATCGAGAGAGAAGCACCCTCCACCTGGTTTGATCACACTGTGATACCCTTCCTCCAGTCCTCCAACCTATCAGATCTTGAGCACTGGTGTCTTTCAGCGCTGGGAATTCTAACTGGTCACCATGTTGGATCCATCTTCTCTTGAGTGGCACATTAGCACTACACCATGGCGTCAGTCCCTTCATCCCAGTTTTATTTTATTTTATTTCATTTTATTTTAATTGTCAGAGGGTGGGTGTGCTCACCAGAGACAGAGAGAAACCCCTTAGTGGGGCATGATCATTCCACAAAACTTTTTCCCCCATTTCTCCATCCTGTTGGGATTTGGGGGCATAAGCATACTCCCAGCATAGTTTTAAGCTGCCAGAGCCAGGATTGAAATCGCAGTCATCCATGTGCAATGCAGCTCCCCAGTCACATGGCTTAGCCCGCTGCACTGTGTGGCCAGCCCCATTCAGCTTGGCTTTTATAGCAAGGTAGGGAGGATCAGTTTTGCAAATATATGTAAAGGTTTCACCAATTTTCCAATATGCCTCTCTTAAACTTTGATCTTGAAATCATTCTTCTCTGAAGTAGGTAAGAATTTACAAGACACCGAGAAGGAAGACGGGACAGGCTAGAAACCAGTGGACGAGGGAAGGGTGTGTGAGTGAAGGCTTGTCTGGGTAAGAGTCGGTGTCTCAAAGGATGTTTTGGTTTTGTGATAAGGCTGTTACTCGACCTTTTAGCCAAGTGGACTCAGGTGAGGAAGATTTGGGTAAACAGGAAACCGACTTTGAAAGCCAAGCGTCATCATAACGCATTCCCTCCCCTTACCTCTCCTACGATGTGCTTCCCATTGATGAACGCTTCAAAGCCACACACCGCCGCCTTATCATCCAAAGGAAAGATATACTTGGCCTCAATGGGCACATGACTTTGATTCGTGTACGTCTGAAAAACAATGACCTGAGGAAGGACAAAAAACATCCACATGCTTGATGAAGCCATGTGGGACAACATTTGCAGGAAACATTGCCTAATGAAAATGATGATTCGTATTTTGTTACATTTCTTGAATTTGTATCATGTCCCCCAAATTCCCAACCCTGGCTTTAGAAATGAGCTCATTGTGTACTTCAGTAACATAGCATTCACGTCCCAGGATGAAATGCACCTGCTACATACTTTTAGGTGGTTCATACACACCCGATGGGAGTGGATGTGCAGCTCCATGCCCTCGTGCTTTGGTTTTTCTCTTGGGCACTTGTCCCCAGCTAACACAGTATGCGTTTTACCCCCAACTCCCTCAACACAGAGCACGCAGGGCTTTTGAGCTGCTCACTGCTAGGTGCCCAGAGAATACAGAAGTCCCTGGGCATGCGGTGCTCAGTGAACATCTGTTGAATAAATGACTTTTAGAAATGTGTGTATTCTGTTTAGGTCATACACCTGCAATCAAATTCTCCTTTACGATTTACATCCGCTTAGGTTAAGTATCATAAACTACGAAGAGCGTACCTGGGCGACGAAGTCTATGATTCTCCCCTTGATGTGAACATCCTCAAGAGGAACCAAATTCCCAGAGGTGTCCTGAAGTCCGGCCTTGATGTTGCTGGAAGGTTTGGTGTACATAGCATTCACGTCCCAGGATGAATTGCACCTGCTACATACTTTTAGGTGGTTCATACACACCCGATGGGAGTGGATGTGCAGCTCCATGCCCTCGTGCTTTGGTTTTTCTCTTGGGCACTTGTCCCCAGCTAACACAGTATGCGTTTTACCCCCAACTCCCTCAACACAGAGCACGCAGGGCTTTTGAGCTGCTCACTGCTAGGTGCCCAGAGAATACAGAAGTCCCTGGGCATGCGGTGCTCAGTGAACATCTGTTGAATAAATGACTTTTAGAAATGTGTGTATTCTGTTTAGGTCATACACCTGCAATCAAATTCTCCTTTACGATTTACATCCGCTTAGGTTAAGTATCATAAACTACGAAGAGCGTACCTGGGCGACGAAGTCTATGATTCTCCCCTTGATGTGAACATCCTCAAGAGGAACCAAATTCCCAGAGGTGTCCTGAAGTCCGGCCTTGATGTTGCTGGAAGGTTTGGTGTCTGGTAACTGGTAATCTGCATATTCAAAATGTTAATGTCAGCTTTTTCTTTTTAAAAGTTTATTTATTTTCTTCTTCTTTTTAATGAAAGAGAGCACATGCGTGTGCACGAGAGCGAAGAATGCCCCTAACATACCACGCCATCTTTCCCCAGCCCTCCATCTGGGGATGTTTTCAGGCCAATGGGGGGATCTGAACTGCAGTTGGCCTAAGCCCTACAGTTCAGTTTGCTGCTGACTATGCCACCAGGTTAGGCCGACATTAACTTATCTTTTTGAATTGCCAGAGGGTACACATGCTCACCAGAGGAAGAGAGAGAAAGAAAGAAAAAGAAAAAGCAAGTTCCGACGGGGCCTGGTCCCTTCTGGCAGGATTTTGGGACACACACATACATGTGCCCTGTGTGTTTCCAAGCCACCGGGGCTGAGTTTTGTGTTTTTCCTTTTGAGATATTTTTGCTATAAGGTGTATGCGCTTGCCAGAGAACAGAGAGACAGAGAAACAGAAAGCGAGAAATCATCCCCTGTGGGGACGGCCACATCGCAATCCCTTCTCCTCCATTCTCTTCTCGGGATCTTGGGCACGCACACACAAACACCCGGCATGAGTTTCAAGTCGACGGATCCAGGACTCAAACCAGTCGACTACGTGGGAGTCCAGTGATGTAACCATTACACCATCTGCTGGTCCCTGGGGCTGAGACTGGAAGTGTGATTCGCTCAGTGGGATCTGGCTTCCTAGGTACAGGACGTAGCTGCTGCACCATGGGGCCAGCCTCAACATCAGCGTTTAAGACCATCCCTGACCTGCCTATTTTTGTTACTTTTTTTTTTTTCCATCTCCATCCCTTCATATATTATATTTTTGAAAATATGGGCAAGTAGAATTTTATTATTTACCACAGCCAATTCTGCAAAGAAGTAAGTGGGGCCAGCCCTGTAGCATAGAGGTTGAACACTGTGCACTGGAGCCAGATCCCACATGGCTGAGCACAGTTCAAATCCCTGCCATGGCAGCTTGGAACACACACTGGATGTGTGTGCATGCATGCCCAAACTCCTGAAGGTATAAAGGGATTGTGCCATGGCTACAACCCTTTGGGGGGCACTTTCTCTCTCTCTCTTTTTTTTTTTCCTCTCTTTCTCTCTCTCTCTGTTGAGTATACAAGCCCTCTGGCAATAAAATACAAATACGAAGGTCAGCCAAGTGGTTAAGGCAGCTGGATCCCGTATGACCAACTATGCAGTTTGAGTTCCAGGCCCAGAGCTTTGAAAAACCACTGTGTGTGCCTAAAATTTTGAAAGGAGAGAGAAATGGAGAAGAGATTGCGGCATGACCATCCCCCATAGGAGTGCTATCTCGCTTCTCCTCTCTCTGTCTCTGTCTCTCTCTCTATGTCTCTCTAGCAAGTACATGTACCCTTTGACAAATTAAACAAACAAATAAGCAAACAAAACCAAATATGAAAAGTAAGTGAATCCGCATGGCAAAATTAGACTCAACAACTCAGACACTTCGGCCTTTTTAATCCCAAGGCATTGTCTTGCAACCTAGAATTATGCTATTACTTCCTTAACGACATTTAAACACAGAAATGGACAGAGATCTTGAGACTACTTCCTAAGTATGGCTGGAACATGAATCCAGCTATCTGCATCCCCCCGCTTATTATGTGGACTTGGTCAGCCACTTGTTCATTGTGCCACGAAAGTGTGCTGCAACATGGAACTGCCTAGATTTTCAACCCAAGGAAGACTAAATCAAACCTCACTGCAACATATTTAAAATGTTCACATGCACAACCAGCAGACAGCGTAACTGTGAACTCAGCAGTTTGAGTCCCAGACCCAGCGGGTCGAAACTCACACTGGGTATGTATGCATGCATGCCCAATCCCGAGAGGAGAATGGAGGAGAAGGAATGTGGTGTGGCCATCCCTCCTGGGGGGTGCTTTCTCACTTTCTCTCTGTCTCTCTCCAGTAAGTGCACATGCTCTATGACAAAAATCTAATAATAATAATAATAATAAGTCAATGTGCTTTCACAGTCCTACCTGTTCATAATCATGGAATAGTTTGGACTCATGATTTTCGGAGAAGCTAGCGTCCTCTCACTCCCTTGTACTAGTACTACTGGTACATAAGCCACACAGTACCCCGTGTGGGGTGTCTTCGCTTTCTCAGTCGAGCCATACAGCAACCCCGCGGTACACATTGCTCTCGTTCCGCTCTTCTACTAAGCAACAGGCTTGACACTCAACTCTGAGCTTCTGATTCTAAAGCTGTATCTTCTGTCCAACCAACCCACCCCCATAAAACATTCTGACCTCTTTTTCTTTCTTTTTTTTTTTTTTTTTTTGCCATAGGATTTGTACACTTACTAGAGAGAGACAGAAGGAAAGTGAGAAATCATCCCCCCAGTGGGGGCATCACCACACCACAATGCCTTTTCCTTCATTCTGCTCTTGGGATTTTATGCATGTACATATATGTGCCTGGTGTTACGCATGGTACGTTTTACCAGCTGCCAGGTCTGAGACTTGAACTATGAATTTGCCATAAGGGATCAAGCACCCTAACCACCATGCCACCTGCTGGCTCTTAGGCTCTGATCTCTTAAAATGCTTCCATAAATATTAGTGCCAGCTATTCCTCAGCAGAATAAGTTGAACCTAGGTGCGTTACTAAAGTAACATGGATTTTAAGATCACTTAAACTTTCTCAAGTATCCTGACTTTATATGTACAAAATAAAAAAGTAAATGAAATATTTAAGTATGAGGCCATAGATAGAGTTACCCAAAAAATGGACATAAATTCCATTGAAACTATGTTTAATTTTATAAAGATTATCACATAAAACAACACTCAAGAAAATTGTCTTACCCTCAACCTTCGAAAAATCTGAAAACTCAGGTCTGTATTCCTCTAATTCAGTATTGTCAAGAGGATGAAAATCCTTTATTTGATCTCCGGGCATGCAAAATTTAATAATATATTTCATTTTAACCTGGTTGGTTTTATATACAACAAATTCATCATCCTAGAGAAAATAGAAATTAATAGTTCGTAAAAGTAAACAAGCCTTTATTGTCAGATGTTCTCATAAAAGCAGAATTTCAGGTTTGCTAATTTGGAAAACATTTCATTCAGGCAGTAGATATACAATCATTATTTACACTTAAGCATATATAATAAAAACAAGAACAGAAAACTGGCTATTCTTTGGCCCTTGGGGACCCTCTGCACCTGTCTCTTGTTATAAAAATACCTCAAAGTCCGTGGCAACGGAAGCTGCTTCTGAAACTCCATGCACACTGTCATAGCCTGGGGGTGCTTCGGTTAAGGAAAAGTCCTTCTTGTATAAGTCCAGACACTTCCCGAGGGCCACATCACAAACAACCACGAGCCTGGTTCCATCCGTCTCCCCTGGGTGTGAGTACTTAACACTTGTACTGCATGAGGGAGGGAATGAGCATGTATTTATGATGTTCAGGCACAAGTTACTAACTTTTATTTCATTTTATGTATTATTATTTTTTAATTTGCTATCGGATATATGTGCTCACCAGAGAGAGAGAGAGAGAAAGGGAACGTGAGAAAGCAAGCCACCAGCTTGATTCCGGGACTTGAATCACAGTTGGCTGCGTGGGAGTGCAGTGCCTCAGTCACCAGGCCGACTGCTGGCCCCTTCACTCACCTCTTACAGCATACATCGCAACGGAAGAGTTGCTGAATTTGTTTCAAATTTTGCTGTTATTAATATATTTCCAAAGGCTTAATTAAGAACTGGCTGGCTTCAGGGCTGGGTTTAGATGGATCATGGCATGAGGATCCCATCAAGAGTCCTAGTCTTTATCTTTTTTTCTCATGAAGGAAACAAATTAGACTTAAAAAAGAAAAATCGTGCTAGCCTATCACATGGTGGTTGAGCTGGCTGGATCTCACATGACTAACTGCATGGCTCGAGTCCCAACCCAGCAACCGGGAGAACACACTGGGCACATGTGCATACCCAAAATACCAACAAGAGGGAGAGATGGAGAAGAAATTGTGGCCTAACCATTCCCCATGGGGTGTGCACTCTCTCTCCTCTCTCCCTCTCCCCTTTCTCTTCAGTGAGTGCATGCACTCTTCGGTATATTAAGAAAACATAAGGAAAGAAAATCCATTCACCTCATTCCTTCTATAAACCGCTTTCCTTCTATAGGCTTTTCCCTTGTAACTTAAAAGCATGTTTCCTGGGGCCGGCAGGTGGCGTGGTGATTCAGGCGCTGGACTTCCGCATGGTGGCTGGAGTCCCTGACCTCATAGCTTGCTTTCTCACTTTCTCTCTGTCTCTGGTCAAATTGAATGTATAAATAATAATAATAAATAAATAAAATAATAATAAAACTTAATAAATAATTCTTAAAAAAAAAAAGCTTCTGTCTTCATCAGACCTAGTCCTTGACTTTGCCCTTAAGCCCTCTCTCTGTTTATTCCCTTTCTTTCTCACCACACTCCTGATGGAGGAGTCCAGAGGCCATCCTTGCTTGAGAACTGGCCACTCTCCAATCCACTGCAGTCTGCTTCTACTCACACTTCATCACTGAAGTCACTCTACCGGGAGTCACTGAGGACTACTGTGGAAAGTTAACTGGAAGACCTATTTTAAAAAATATTGTAACATCGAGGGGCCAGCAAGTGCTGTGGTGGTTAAGGCACTGGACTCCCACACGGTCGACCATGGTTCAAGTCCCAGACCTGGTGGCTTACTTTCTCACTTTACCTTTCTCTTTCTCTCTGGCCAAATTAAAAAAAAGAAAGAAAGAAAGAAATTAAATAAGTAAAGTCTTTAAAATAACAATTAAAATTTATAACATCTAAAAATGTTTACTTTGAAATATTTTATACATAGGAATGAGAATTTACAAAGGGTGATTTAAAAGTTCATGAAAAATTTATATTACAAAAAAGCTATGAATAGATTTCGACATTTTTCGCACCAAAATAAACTTGTATTTTAATTTCATGTTTTCTCAGATTTTCTGATATACCTTCCTATGATATGTTTAAAGAATAATAATAAATAAACACTGGATAGCTATGGCCTAACTTAAGAACCAGGACATCATCAATATTTCTATACTGCCCCATAATAGTATAGAAATTTCTTCTCACCTAGGGTAACCTAACCACTGTCCTGATTTGTCCACATTACTTTCTTTCTTTTTGTTTTTTAAATTTGTATGGACACACAGGTGTGCGTTCCTCAATGACACAACGTGTAGTTTTGCTTATACTTAAACTAGCATATGTGAAGACCCATACAGTGAATTTTACTCTGCTAGATTCCTAAGGCTCATCCATTTGACATGTGTGGTCATGGTCCACTTGTTTAAATGCACTATGGTACTCCACCAAAAGTTATGGACCCATCCCACTGTCCAGGAACATATATGCATCATCTCCAGGGCTGTTGTTACCATATTCTTTTTTTTTTTTTTTTTTTTTTTAGAAGTTTTTTCTTTTGGGGACTGG